CTCTTCTTTTTAACCACACATTATTCATTAAAATAATATTACACGTAAATCAAAAACTTTTTCTTATTTTTCAACCACACATTTTCGATCAATTTACTATTCCAAAATACATTTTACATAAAAATGGCTCACAAACACCTTCTATATATTATTATGACTTATATTTAGAAATATTATAGGCTAATTTAGGATATTATCATATAAAAAAAATATAGCAATAAGTTTTTATTTTAATTGTTTACGATTTCTTTCACCATCTAAAGTTTTTCACTTTCAAAATTACAATATCAAAGTCACGTGAATATGATCAATTTTCTGTCACCTCCAACAAATTTTCAGAGTTTTCCACTTTCCAATGATATTATCACATGAATGTCAACAATTTTCCACCTTCAAAGTCACAATATCGTCATCAATTTAATTGGACCTATGTATTTATGTGACTAAGAAATGTCATATTCTTCAATTGTGATCTATGAGTTTATATTACTGTGACGTGTTTTGATAAATGATTGTGATCTATAAATAATGTGATTGTAACTAAACACGATGTCTGATTGTGAAGTAATTTATATGTGATCTATTTTTTTTTTACAAGGTGTCCTATTCTAGACTAATCCTTGGGTCTGTGATCCGGCCCCTCTTTGATGTGGATTGTGACTTACTTTGTTTTACCGTGGTTTTTATCTAAGAATTTATTACCTTGTTAACTATGAATTTTTTTGTCTTTGACATGTTATGTTATATAAATGTGATATATTATCTCGTGTGACTATGATCAGTTATGTTATCTAATTGGAACCTATGCATATACATTCATGTAACCTCTAAAATTCTTGTGATTGTGACTCAAATTATAATGTTTGTTGGTGACTTACTATTGTTTTGGTATTTTGGCAGCAATGGTCTATATTTACATTGGCATATACTAGGGAGGTCATACATGAGTGAGACCCATTATAACTTTCAAATTGTCACCTATTACGATTTTCAGTGTAAATATGATTTATTTCATTTTATGACTGTATTTGTGACTGTCATGCCTAATATATTCCAAGTTTCAAGTTTGAATGTACAATTTAAAAATGTGATCGGAAACATGTCTTTGAAAATTGCGATATGTTTAGAGAAGTAACCAAAGAACATCTAGTCAAAGTCCACAAAATAGTAAATTGGCAAGTTAATGATTCTAAAAAGTAGTCATCTTACTAATTGGAACCTATGCATATACATTCATGTAACCTCTAAAATTCTTGTGATTGTGACTCAAATTATAATGTTTGTTGGTGACTTACTATTGTTTTGGTATTTTGGCAGCAATGGTCTATATTTACATTGGCATATACTAGGGAGGTCATACATGAGTGAGACCCATTATAACTTTCAAATTGTCACCTATTACGATTTTCAGTGTAAATATGATTTATTTCATTTTATGACTGTATTTGTGACTGTCATGCCTAATATATTCCAAGTTTCAAGTTTGAATGTACAATTTAAAAATGTGATCGGAAACATGTCTTTGAAAATTGCGATATGTTTAGAGAAGTAACCAAAGAACATCTAGTCAAAGTCCACAAAATAGTAAATTGGCAAGTTAATGATTCTAAAAAGTAGTCATCTTATAATTTAGAGTTGACCTTTGAAAAGTAAATTGACAAGTTAATTGTGAGGTGACTGCTGTAGAGATATTACATCAATCTATCATTCAGGAGATCTTGTACGAAATATCCTTTGAAAGAGGTGAAACAAAAAGATGTCATTGAGAGGCTAATCATCTCGAATTTACCCTACAACAGATTACGACACCTTATCTTATACCATGAAAGATCAATCTCTACATGGCACATTAAAAAAAGATGGTGTATCACTTCAACAACCTGTATCATATGGCCTATGTTAGGCTAGTTAGGCCAGGTAGAAGAGTGACACGGAGTGCTTGTTTTATCATGCTTGCTGATTGGCTATCACATGATCCATACCTGAAGTTTTAGGTATAACATCATTTTTTTATTTTAGAATTATTATTATTTGTCATTATCAAAACTAGATCAAGATTTCCACTGTAGTTCATCAATCCATCCGTTTGTTACCGTTTTCCTTTCACATTTTTACTATTCGTATCTTTCAGTAGGAAACGAAAATAGAGATCTCCAGAAAATTATATCCACGCATAAGCACATTGTAGTAAAGCCCAGGAAAAATGTAAATTTCATATCTTTAGCCTAATAAAAGAAGAAAACACATACCGAAATAAACCCTAATCCACAATTCGATTTTCCGAATTGCCATCACTGCCATTGATTGTAAACAATCACCACCAGAATTGCAACCACAAACACCACCCTCCTAATGTGGTTGTAGCCAAAACTTCTGAGTCAAACATTGGTCTTCTTCACCACCAATCTACTAATCTTCTCTAGTTTGACTACCTTTGATCACTGTAAAATCGTACATCTATGAGTGGCTTTGCATCCGAGAGCGGTAATCGCACCCCTGGCTTGTTTGGTGGAAATGTGTCTCAGGTAATATGAGTTTGTTTAGTTGATGGTAAGTCTTTGGTATATATGTAGGTTAACAATCAAAATCTAAGTTTTGCTTTATTGAAATAGGTTATTATTTGAAAAGATAAACAAATTTGAGTTTCTTCTTAGTTACTAGTACGAACAATTTCAATTAAAAAAAAATAAACATATGCTTATTTCTTTTGTTATTTTTGAATAGAAAACATGTTCAATAACTATATTTCTCCCAAGAAAAAGTTGTCTAATCTAATTTAGCTGAAGCTTAAACCATTATCACCATCTTTTATATACCTTAGTCTCGATGGAACAGAATGATGAGCGTTAGGCTAAAATGTTTGGCACTCACTCATAGAGACTTTAGTTCTTGTCTAACCCACTGACATTCATTTGCTTACCAATTAGGAGCCGATGGAGATGACATTAAGGTTGAACTCTTTGGCGATCGATACCATGATAGAACATGTCTTTTCTTACATCATTCCCACCAATATGCTTGCAATTCTAATTAAGAAGTAGAGGAAAGTAAAAGACTTTGAAATTGAGTACCTCAAAGATACCTCAAAATGCGAAGCATGGCATCCCAATGGACTGTGGTAGGCGAGGTAACAATCTGACTCACTATATGAACAATATGTGCAATATCTAGACTAGTAATGATGAAATAAATCAAGCTACCGATAACAATACGATATAAACTATGGTATGATAATGGAGAATTATTAGAAGAAGAGTACCGAACATTAGGCTTAAGAGGCATATCAACAGTCTAATTATCAGTAAGACATGTGAGTTACAATATATCGGTAATGTACTTTGACTAAAAAAGAAGATAACCTTTTTGAGAAGATGTAACTTGAATACCCAAAGAGTAACGGAGTAAACAAAAATCTTTCACAGCAAAAAAGAGCCTTTAGTGCTACAATTCGCATTAGAATTTCACCAGTAATAATCATGTCATCAACAAATAAATAGAGCAAAACATGATTGATGGTTGTACATCTGTGAAATAAAGCTAAATCATGATGACTAGGATGGAAACAAAGTGAAGTAATCATAGTAGAAAACTTTTCAAACCAAGCTTGAGGTGCCTATTTGAGATCATAAAGAGCTTTTCGAAGTTTTCAACCTTCACCAAATTGATGAAAAACACCATGATAGGGAACCATATAAATTTCTTCCTAAGGATCTCCATTCAAGAAGGCATTTTTAACATCCATTTAAGATATACTTCATCGAACAAATAGAGGTATTAAAATAATGGGAACAATCGTCATTTTTGCAACAAATGAAAAAGTCTTATCATAATCTATACCATACTTTTGAGAATACCCTTTAGCAACTAATCCGGTTTTATATCTTTTAATAGATCCATCTAACTTGATATTGATTTTATAGACCCAATGAGAACCAACTGCTCATTTTCTTGCCGGTAAACATATCGAGTCTTAAGTATGCGTTTGATGTAGAACATTATACTCCTCAATCGAAGTCTCTTGCCGAAGGTAACAAAGTGCCTCTATACATGATAAAGGCTCCGAAAGATGATGAACAAAAGCTGAAAAGAAAACGATGGTCCATGTCAACACCTTTGATTTTGGCTTTCACACTACACGTTGCACTGTTGCCACCATCTGACCTGAATCGGTTACTACTATGGTTTTGACAGCATAGAATCACGAAACCCTTCTTGCCGTACTGGAGCCATAGAAAGGACAGAGTTCAGTGGACCTTAACAATAAAAATGAGAAAGCTTTTTAACAAGATAAGCTATTTTATTCAATTATTTTTTAATTTTCCATTTAGGAGTTGGAGCTTGATCGATTATCCCTATGGTTAATTTTTATTAGATTACGTAATGACTAGCAACAATCTAGCGCTTTTCCAGACCCAAAAAAGGAAAAGAAGTGATATATATTAATCTCTCTGTGATGCTCGAAATCTATATTATAGGGGGGGGAAAGGTTATGTTTTCCACTCATTGCTATTTGAACCAATTTCTATGCGGATTAGTGTCAATTGAGATCACAAACTATTATAGTTGGGATGTAGAACCCTCAATTGGATGGTTTTAGAATAAATAACAATGGATGCATAATGTTTTTAATAAAGAGAATAATACCATCTAGCATCAATTGTGCTAGAACAATAGTTATAGTAAAACCATATTTGACAAGTTCTGTATCGTCACCTAGATTAATATTTATCGTCAACGAGGTTGAATGGCATTTCTTCTTGTCGGCTAGTTCTCTCATTTTTTAGCCTTTTCTATTTTTGTATTTACGTAGATGAAGAATTTGGCGTGAAATTGGACTTGCTCTTTCCTTTCAGAAGATTTTAGCCTAGTTTATTATTATCGTGGACATGCCAAAGTCTTAAATTTAAATTGGGCAGCAGAATTGCATGAAAAGCTATAGAGAGATCAATACCAAGCCAGAGAAGGAGAGGATATTGATTGTGCATGTATGTGATCTAATATAAAATCAAAAATTAAAATGACTAGGAAAAGAATGTATTCTACTCGAGTAAGAGGGTGAATTTTGCTTTTCTTTGCAAGCACATCAAATGAAAAGTTCAATTTTTGAAGCACAAACTGTTCCTAACATGGAATGCTACTAAAGAAGATCAGTTCCCCTTTTAGCTTAATCAAAATCCGTCCTTAGTCCAACTATACCACGCCATATAATTTTCACATGCACGAGGAGCATGAGCATGGTTTTCTCAAAAATCTTCTCGCATATCTCCCACCTTCCTCTTGGCTTGAGAAGCCAGTCGAGCATCTCTCTCCCGCTCAAACTCTCGATAGTCTGAACGCTGCAAGAAAGAGACTCTATCTAGATACTGATTTGAACTTTTCTTGTAAGCATCCAGTTCTTCTTCCAGGCCTTTGTTTTCTTCCTTGAACTCGCCCCAATCCTTCTTCGTTTTATCAAGTACACTAAGTTTTTGTTTCTTCTTGATTTGTTCAAGAACAGCATCAACAGCAGAAACCGAACTGGCTGTGCCTTTACCTTTATCAGAGGCCTCTTTTGAGGTAGAATCAACAAATTTTCTCACTTCGACTTCCTCGCCAGCAAAGTCCCGAACTTCAGAAATCTGCTAAAGTACCAGATATAAAAATATTAATGTAACTGTATATTCGTCATAATCAAGCAGCTGACCCTCAAAATGTCTCACAATATCAGAGCTTCTGAAATTGGACAAGTAACCAACTGCTACAGTCATTTGAAGATTGTCCAAACAAGTTACACTATTCTAGTGAAAAATGCTTTATTCATCACCAAATTAAATAAATGCCATAAACTCATATAAGACCGAAACAAAAACTAGTGCCAAGAATTCAATTGACACGAATTGAATTGCTACACTAGAAGGAAAACCATTAGAGCGAAAATTAAATCTGATAAGAATTAGCTGCACAGCAATAAAGTTCACCTCAATTTTCCCCCTGCCGACAGCAGCTAAAGCAGCAGCATCCTTAACTGCTGAAAGAGCAGCTGCAGCAAGTTTCTTTGCCTCATCACTGGCACCGTTCTGACTGATGCTAGGACACTTTGCTGAAACATCTTGGCCAGGTGATGACATCGTTTTTGGTGCCAATCCCAAAGATGTCATCCAGCTCTGGAAAAAAGCATGTTAACGTTCAGTATATGCTCAACATAAGAGTATATTTCAAATATATTGAAATGGAGAGGCTGCTCACTGGAGATGACATCTTTTGGGAAGTCCTTTGGGAAGTTTTATTGGCAGTAGAGCTGCGCTTTTCTAAGATGGATTTAAGAGTTTTATTGGAAACTCCTTTGTTCATCTGTTGCCACACAGCATTCACCCGAGCTTTCCTTTCTGATATCACAAAAATGCACATAAACTCAGTGTGGTAGTGTTCAATACTTGGACATTAAAATCAATAGTAAGCATAACAACAGACTACCAAACAGAAGCAAGAAGCATACTGGAGGAAAACACAAAGCAGTAAATAAGGAACCTCCATGCTTCCTACCAGTTTCTTCATGCTCTGCCTGTGAGATGGCAGCTTGTTGAGCTTCTTGTTGGGATTCAGCACTCAGCTCATCCATCTTTTCTAAACTACCTGAAACAAAGTCTAGAACATTTAGCAGAGGAAGAAAATGGAAGAACACAAACATGCATAATATCACTGGATTCACTGCATGCATAATATCACAAACTTACAGTGAAGTCTTATTAAATACTCCAGTAGAAATACAGCTGCAGCACTTCATGCTACAGTTACTACTCAGAAAAAAGAAACTAAGGGAAAGACAAGTACATCATGAAACTAAAAGCATGATAACATAAATAAACTATATGTCCAGTGGCCTTTGATAAACTATATACGCTCCAAGGAAATGACAAACACTGCAAGGGACAGCAGATGGGACCTTAAATTAAAACAAGTTGATGGCAGAAGTGTGATTGGGTATATTTCCAGTTTAAAGATCCCTTCCCAAATTCAGCTAGTGTTCTTGTCCATATTGAGGAAATAATAAGCATATGTTGGTCTAGTATTAGCCGGAAAACCTCCGAACATGTCAGTAGTAAAAAGTTGAGTACTGGTTAAATACACATGATGTTGAAGAAGCTGATGACTCTTGTACCTTATGTGAACACCATATCATTCAGAAAGGGAATCGACNCTGGTTAAATACACATGATGTTGAAGAAGCTGATGACTCTTGTACCTTATGTGAACACCATATCATTCAGAAAGGGAATCGACTAGGAGAAAAATTGTTATACCACTAGAACATGATAACATATATCCTCCGAATGGGTTATCTTTCCTGCCACCCAGTTTGTACAGACACAAAAACGTGTAAAACTAAACCCATCAGTTCTAGCCTATGCCTATGGACCATTAAACTATGACACTTGCACTTTTCATCCATACCACAAGAAAAGCAAGCATATCCCAAAATACAGTTTTGAAAACCTGTTATAAAGTAACATTTCCCTCAAGTATCCCATTTGCTGTCTGAATATAAGACTGAAACTCCCATATTATGCCTAGATATTGATCCCTAGCAATAAGAGCACATTCATAATAAAGACTAGATGTAAGAAGAAAATGATAATCTACCAAATAACAAAGCATTGAGAGCTGCATGAAGAAAAGCATTTGCAATTCATCCCACAAATTTCTGAAGTCTGGAGGACTAATATTAAATGAGGCCAGCAAATAATTTCCTACATTTTCAACTAGCATCCCACCTCATTACCGCCAAGTACAAATACATGCAACAGAAACCAATTAAAATAACACTGAGGCTGAAAACCATCTTGTGTCTGTTTAAGTGGACTGAACACTATTATTCACATTATCCCTGCAACCCCAGATAGTATGGAAATAACATGCAGCATATAGACTTTAATCTCTATATGCAAAGTTTTAAACAGAATGATTAGAATTTCTATAGTTGGGTCCAAAAATTCATAAAACTGTTCCAAGAAAGAACACGGAATTGCAAATGCCTTGTGAAAGAGATTTAAAAATTTGCACAGTAGCTAGTGTGCATATGAAAAATATATGCGTGTACCCCTAGAAGGAAAGTTTTAGTTCTTGGTCAAGTTCTTTAATTTCAAAGGGGTTACCATATACCTTTTACAGGGTTTATGATATGTAGAAGGAAAGTTTTTGTTCCTGCTCCTGTTCTTTAGTTCAAAGGTTATATTGTTATATAAGCTATTTCATTTATATACATGGCAAGTCAAAATGTCTGTCATATAATCATGCAGAAATTGCAATAGTATAGAAACAAGTGAGGTAAGCGATGATTTTTCAATTCTCTACTCGGTAATCTAGTATGTGTTGATTAGATATCGTCAACACGAGAAAGAATCCAACAACGTTTGGAAATCAATTTTTGATGTTGAAAACCGAGGAAAATAAAGCAAAAAAATACAAGGAAAGAGAACCCAGAACTGAACTCTAAAAAATGGCATAAACCAAACAACGAAATTGCCAGTCACAATAGAAAGGAGGAAAAAACAAAAAATGAGCGAACAAGAATACCCATTCCCCTGCCCCTCGCCCTTCCCCTCTCACAGGGATTTCGGTCCTGGGTATCACCGATCACAAACAATTTTGGTAAAATAAATTCTAAGGAGCCAGAAGAAGAGAAATGGCAATAAGGCTGGACGGAATCTTAGATCGAGGTTGTGTTGAAATTAAATCATTCACAACAATCAAATCGAATGAAAAATCAACAAATAAAGCGTTTTAAAAAAATAATAATAATAATAATAGAAGAAAGAATCTGGTATTACCTCCCAAGTTTGATAAACAATAGATCTTGTAGAAATCACTGCAACACAAGATCAAACTGCTGCCAAGAGGGTTATGATGACGTATTCCTTTTTCCCTCCCCTTCAAAGTGAATCTTTCCCAATTTTTAGTGCAATCCCAAAGAAAAACCCATAGCCTCTTGCCCCCTTCTATTTGTCTATCAATAAAAACAGGCCTTTGTTTTTTACACTTACGGGTTAAGGCGGCAAGACTGGTCTTATTTTTATTTTTATTTATTTATTATTATTATTATTTTTTTTTTTTACTCAGATATACGAACTTCTCCCGTCTAATGCAAAGAAGTGACAGCCTTTTTCCCCGATTCGCTATCCGGGTAGATTCGGATGTGATCACAGCTTATACACATTTAAAACGGACATTCGAAATACAATTTTCTTCCTTATAGACTTCCCTTTATAACATGCGGATAGGACTCTCGAAGGAGCGACAAAACGTATCATAACTTTACCTCCATAGCACATCTCTCTTCCAATATAAATGTTGTCTTTTAACTAGTACGGGGATTCGAACCTCCGATACTTTATAGAGAATCCTCGTACTTTTATCACTACGTCATGCCCGTGGAGGTAGACTAGCTTTTAATTGGACTACACATGATATTGGCCAATTTGTGGAACAAGGTTCACTACTTTTGCACATTATAACCTCTCTCTTTTCGTCAAATTCTAATCTTTCATTAATTAATCAATCTCGTTCTATGTTGATAACTTCTATCAACATATTTATTTTGTGTGTTTTAAAATGAGAAAAACACATTTTGTCAAACTTTTATATTTATTTATTTTTTTTTTTTCAATAATACGATGAGTAAATAAATCATTTTACTTTATTTCAACTAATTTTTTGGAGAGAAAGCATTATTAATAATTGCTACGTACATAAATGGTACAATGAAAAAGAGTCATTTAGTACTGTAATTGCCAAATGAAACTGATGCAATTACCCATACCACAAAAGTGGATTATCACAATCTAGAAAAATTATTTGGTTTAATGGATCAATTTGGACATTACAAAAGAGTACTTATGGATCGGTCAAAATATTACAATAGAGTATGTCTATAAGCATCAAACAAGTGATAAATATGTGTCCATCCCGTTATGATTTATGTTCGCTAATCCGAATAAGATACTGTAGATGCACGGGTCATGAATACGTAATAATTTGATGAAAGTTAATAATTTGATTAGGAGTGTGGAATCCCATATAAGATCGGTTTATTGTCTTCATTAGGTTTAATAATTTTAATTAACTACTTAAATAAAATGGAACTGACAGAAACACACACACAAATTTATCAGTTTTAACGTTTGCGTTACCCGATGAAAACTATCTATTTGGACGACAAAAGGATATGCCGTAGGCACGCGATGCAAATGGAAGAGAGTTCTTTTGAAATAATTAAACCCATTAATCATGTACCACATGTCGTAGCATTCGTCCTTTTTTTACGGGGTAAGAACATCTATAAGAAATTCTCTATATATAAAGAATGATTTATGCAAAATAAAAAATTTCTTTAAATTTAGAGAACAAACTCTGTATACACTCCAACAATGATCTCCATTTTTATTCTTTATTTTATTTTTTTAATGAACATTTATTGATTTTTCTCATCTCTTATTTGACATTATTTTTTTTATATGTTAATGGTTAATCAACTAAAATGGGATTTGAACAATTTAAATTTTAGATTATTGAAAATTATAAGTTATCGAAAACAATTATTATTAATTAAGAATAGAGAATGAAATTGTTTCTTCAAATTTGAAGAGTCAAACCATTATTTAAAAAAAATTTAAAATAGAATCTCTTGACACTTATTTTTAAATATTGATTCTCTAAAATAGAGAATATTTTGTATTTAAAAAGTCGATTAAAAATGTTTTAAGTACACTACGTTTGCTGAATCAAAGTATGACACATTCAATTGATCCTATATCAAATACTTGATAATGTCAAGCTTATAACCTCAACCGATGTTTGGGAAGCAACCTTGTTATTTATTTATTTGCTAATGGTACAAAGGAAAATATTAGTTAGAGAGAGTGTAGAAAAGATCCAATATTCATTAACAATCATCCTACTATTATCAAATATTTGACATTAGTATCAACTATATCTTATTTAAACATTTATTAATATAGCGAAGTAAGCGTGTTTTCATTGGGACATTACCTTGTTAATTCAAAACCATGATCAAAAAAATAATGAAGAATCAAGAATACAGTAACCAAGTAATGAACACGACATGCTGCAATCAAAATGTAACTGAATGAATTATTATAAAATTTTCCATATCGATTGGAAGAGAAATCGATCAACCAATACAAGTCTATATGAGAATGCAAATCATTAGTCATTATACGTACCAGTAGTTTCCATCACCGGGAATTATGCAACAGAGCAATAGAGCTCTTAGGATCAAAATAAACTCTAGCACAAATCCGACGTACATTTAAAAAAGGAGATTTGATATTTGAACTAGGAAGATCAGTTTTCCTTTTTCTAAGAAATAAAGAAATTCAAACATAAAAATCTGCAGACAAGACTCATTGTTCCATTATTTTGCCTGCGGGTGAGATGCAATGAAGTCAACGGCAAGATTGATGGAGTTGATTTTGTCTGCTTCATTGTCCGGAATCTCAAATCCAAACTCTTCTTCGAGAGCCATCACAATTTCGACCGTGTCTAAGCTATCTAACCCGAGATCATTCTGGAAATGCGCATTTGGGGTAACCTGAAACAAATATGAAAACGTTAGAAACTAATTCCTATATCAACATAATTTAAGAAGTGGAAGCATTTTGCAAATTCAGCTAGTAAATATGTGAATAATAAACATATAAAGTAGATGAGGAAAACATAAAATGCTTGCAACCATTTCATATTTTTGCATCATCGTGTTTCTGCAATCCACCAACACCACCCTCCAATCACCAGCCACAACCAGCCCACCCTGTCTCAAGTCCCACATCCAAACCAAACCAACCCGTGTAAAGGAAACTACAAACTCATCTAGTAGGGAACAAAGATGTATGTCTTGCAAGATTTAACATAAATCAAATGAAGGTAGTTCTTTCGTTTGCTTTATCACATATTTGGCACATTGACTCCATGACATTTTGTATCACAGAGAAAATAAAGTTTAAGCCATCATATAACACACAGCAAACCTGATAAAAGGTATCAATTCATCACAGACCAGACATCCAGATTTTCCATTCTGCTTATAACAGCAAAAGTATCATGATTTTTATGCAGGATCATTTCCAATTAAATGATTGAATCTATTCTCGGGGAAGGTATTTATCCCAACAAAGAAGGAAAATAGTGGATCTACTACTGCCTACTTTGTCTGTTTTAGTGGAATCATTAGAACTTCACAAAGATCATATAAAGCTAATTGGAGTGAGGAATCAAAACACAACCGCCACTCAACTACCAACAACTACACAAGCATCCAACTAGTTATAACTTGTAGATGTGGTGAATGTATTTTATTGGTGGTGATGTTGAACACTCATGGTAGTGATGATAGTGTTAGTAAAGGAAACAATGGTTAAAAGGCATATCATGTGAGGATGGGAGTACAATTCTTTTTCCATGCTTGCTCTCCTGCTCTAGCCATCAAATAAAGAAAATCCGACTTCCTACCTAGTCCAGGCATCCGGAGCCTAGTCACAACCAAAACTGCATTCCAGACTTATTAATTTTTTTCCCATATGTTTCTCACCCTACATTTCAGCATCTAAAAGGATATTGAACGTGTGTTGATATTCTCCAGTATAATAAACACATCCACTTCTTCACAAGTTTTCAGAGGGTAAGTTGGGGCTATATACTCTTCGATTCTATTAAAAATTGCAAGATGCATGGAGCCTAGCAAAACATATAATTATATTGGCACATATTCATTTGTTTTCACTCCTACATATGGAACACCATATGCAATGAGGGAATGGCTTAGGGAAAACCAGTTTAATCTAACTAAAGGATCAATAAAATGGTAAAACATTTGGGATGAGAAACTTTTGCTTGTAGTGTCAGTAACTTGCTCCTGCAGTTGCACACAATTTCCAAGCAATCATCTATTCCCCATATATTATGGGATTGCAACCTTTAACTCGACATGAACAAAGTTACTACTTTACCCACACATATTACAGCATAACCAACCAGAAAATAGAAACCCTAATTTTCTCAAAAACCTTAAACATAAGCAAACACCAATATATCACCTCAGCTATAATGATAATTGCATCAATTGCAGCATCAATTCCCCTTATGCATATCAAAAGCGGACCACTCTCAACATTTAACTATAATAATTACTCTTAACCCCAAATATATATCCAAACCCACAAGATTCAAATACCAAAAACTGTTCGAACCAATAAATCCTAATGTTTCCAATAAACCCCTAATTCTTTTAAGCCACTATAATCATTCTATTAATTCGTAATATATCATGTTACCTTAGAGGGATCGACTTTCTGGAAATTTTTCACGCAATTGAGAACACGATCCATGACCTCAGACTTGTCAAGGAATGAGCCCTTCACTTCCGCACATAAGTGGCGGCTGCTGATGAGCCGCGACAGCGCCCCACGGAGGCCGGCTCCAGGGTTTTGAAGTGGCACGGAATGAGTATTCACCCTCAGGTACTTGAGTAATGCGTTCCTCGCCGCCATTCCTCTGCCAAAAGAGAGAGCTCGAAAGAAACAAACTAGGAGAAGAAGTGGGTTTAACCTGATAATGATTTTTCACTAAAATGGGTAGTAGACTAGAGTGTGGGTTGCAGTCTAAAAAATTGGGATTTTATGTC